GGCTCAGGTAGGAGACAACTCTCCAGAGGACAAGAACCTCAGCCTGGGCTGGGCTGTGTGAGGGAAGGGGAAAGGGAAAAGGAAGGGGAGGCCATTTTGCTCAAACCATGTTGCTCCCCCATCCATGCCTTGATCTCTGCATTAGGTTTCTGGAGCACAATCTCCTCACAGAGCATGACTAAGCAAATGTGCTCGGGGGCGGCCTGATAGGGGCCCCTTCCTGTCACTTGAGTGACCAAAAATCAAAACCATCTCACATCAGGACATTATAGCTACTGAATCTGCCCCAGGCCTCCTGTTTTCTACTGAGGCACAGGGTATGCATGCCCCTAGTACAGCTGGAGAGGCTGTAACATCAGAAAGTAAGTAGCTAGTATGCTCCAGGGCAGTACTGTCTGACATAAATAGAAAAGTAACTTAGAATGTTCTAGTAGTCACATGAAAAAAAAATTAAAATAAATAGGCAATCTTAATTTTAATACTGTATCTTCTTTACAAAATATATCCAAAGTGTCATTTTGCTGTGTAATCAATACAAAATTATTCAAGAGATCATTTAAATTCTTTTTTGTCCTAAGTACTAGACATCCAGTGCATGTGTTACACTCGCAGCATGTCCTAATTTGGACTAACCATCTTTCAAGTACTCCACCAACCTATGCAGCTAGTGGCAATTACCCCATAGGACAATGCGGGTACCAGACATAGGAATTTCAATTAGGCAGTGCTGGCTTAAAAGACCAAAAAGCCATGGAAAGGGGAATGACAGGTGTAAGCAGGATGTGCCCCAAAATTCTCCATAATTATTAACTTGCTAGAGCTAATGACGACAGCAGAAACTGGAACAACCAGGATTTGGAGTTCCAGGAGCCCACTATGCCTTCTAAGTAGAGACTAAAATGAACTTTTTATGGAAGGTCCTGAAACCATGCATGATGTGAATGTTTGTGTACCCCCAGAATTCATATGTAGAAATCTTAATCTCCAAGGTATTAAGAGGTAGTCTTTGGAAGATGATTACATCATAAGAATAGAACCCTTATCAATGAGAGTGGTGGCTTTATGAAAGAGACCCCAGAAAACTTGTTTGCTCCTTCTGCCATATAAGGGGATAAGAGAAACTGCCATTTATGAACCAGAAAGCAGGCCCTCATTAGATAGTGAATCTGTTGGTACCTTGATCTTGGGCTTCCCAGCCTCTGGAATTATATGAAACAAATTTCCATTGTTTATAAGACCTAGTTTATGGTATTTTGTTAAAGAAGCCCACACAGACTAAACCAGACCTTGCCTAGATTATGGAGGCCTGCCCCACAGCCGTAGCCATCTGCTGGTTGAGCCATCTCCATCTTAGCTTTTCTGGTTTGTTCAGGGCAAGGGCTGGGACAGAACATCACCAAAGTCACATACTTCTTTCAATAACAATTCCTGGGTTTACAATCTAATTTGGTAAAACAGATACAGAAACATGATCAAATTACATGCGCCTGTGTTTATGCATGCATGTGTTTGTGCGTGTTCTTGGCCAGAAGAGAGAAGGAGGGTCATGTGTGAAATCCAGAAGTACTAATGTGGCCGCCAAAATCCTCTCCTCACCAGCTGCCATTGGAGCACAGAGCAGCAGAGAAGCCTCAAGAGGCTGGTCACAAAGTGACCCATAAAGGGCTTGAGTTCAGAAGCAAGAAGATGATAGCCAACCGGGCAGATGATCAGGTGGGTGAGAGACGTGGGAATCAGAGGCATTCTCCAAAGACAAGAGCTGCCAACTCTACAAGGATGCCACCCAGATCCCCAAATCAAGCTTAATTCAGAATTCCCCACAGGCTTTGTGCATGGCAAAAATGCAATTAGCCATCTTTCCTCCTCCTAGAGAATCTCATTCTCTGAGGTTCCCCTCATATTCTGATCAGAGAAGCCACAAAATCAGAAGCCCTTCTTATATGGATTCAAATCCTGGTTCTTCTAATGGTTCTAGAATTTCCAGGGGTTTAAAGGCTACCATCTGGTTGGAAGGAGGCAAAGGGACTTGCCTTGATGATTCATTTGCGTAGTCAATCCCAGTTTTTATTTAGTGTTTGCTCACTTAAAAGTAACAAGTCAAAAATACCTCACTGAGCCTTTCGTCCCACCATGGACCTTGGGCTAATCACACCTGTCTGAACCTCAGTTTCCTCATTCACAAGTATGATTAATACTGCCATTTCACATAGGTGTTGTAAGAATTAAATCAGGGTTTGTCAGCATGGAATTGTCCAGGGCTCAGACAGGAGCATGATACCAGAGATTCTGAGTCCCCATCAAATATACAACCCCCTAGATTTCTCCCTGCTGGATCTTCTTTGACAGTGATTCACAGACCCTTCCCCACTACCATTCGGCTCCATCATTTCGTTGTTCCACTGTCATTTACTTAGCACCAGTGGCATGTTAGGGATCCCAAGATGAAAAGGCAGCATCCAGTCTTTCAATCCGAAATAGGAATTATTCTGGATCTATTTACTTGGCACATAAGTGTGGGTCACAGGCAACTGCACTGCCTCACTAGTGGCTTTCCTGCCCCCCAACACACATACACACACATACATGCACGCGCCAGTTAGGTACCATATTTTATAAAGGGGGATGGGCTGAGAGCGCTGGCCTTTGGGAGGAATAAATATGAGAGTTTCAGCAGGGAAAGAGGGACATATTGCCCCTTTAAATCATAACTACCAGTCTGGAATCAGGTTCGTGACTGGAAATTTCTCTGACCATTATCTGTAAAATAATGCTACATAGAGGTCACAGAAACTGAGATTTCCAACATGTGAAACGCCTGGCAGACCCAGGGCAAGAATAAATGCTGGCTCCTTTTCCAATTTATTTCTCTCCATGTTCTTCCTCCCCAAATCTAAGGTTAGCAACCAGAGAACAGACACTTGCTGTATTTTTTTTTTTTTTTTGGTTGCTGTGGGCTTAGAGTAGACTATGTGTGCAAGAAGATCTCCATTCTGGATCACTACAGTCAGCCTGCTGGCAGTAGAGCATTTCTAGCAATGCCTGGTCACACACCTCTTGGCCTTTGCCTTTTTTTTTTTTTTTTTTTGCTATTCAGACGGCCCCATCTTAGTAGCTCTGTTGTCTGAATGTAAGATTTTGCAATTTATTTTACAGTTCCTGCCCAATCGCCCATCAAATTCTCATAAATTCTCTCATGGGCAACTGGCATCCCCTGAAAAACTGTTTTCTCATTTGCCCCTGAGATGAACACATGTTCCAGGGCCAAACCTAGACACTTAAGGTCTGGGGTTCTTTGAAATAATAAAGGAACCCCCATGGATGGCTGAATAGTCCCCTGGGCTGGTACCAAAATGACCAGTCTCCCAAGTTCTAGTCTGACCTAACTCAAAGTGCCAGGGCCACTTGGGCATGACATTAGTGGGATCTGTCGGGATGAGAAGCAAGTGCCCAGTTGTAGGATACTGTGTGCATGTCTAAGGGTTGGAGGTGTCTGGGATGGGGGAAGGGCCTGTTTGGGTGTCCAAGTGGCAAAGAAACGAGCAGACAAACTGGCTTCAGATTCTGTGCCTCAGCCCACCCCGGGCTTCTGCAAGTAGTACTGCTCCTTATATTGTCCTTGGAAGGGAAAGCAGGGAGAGGAGCCCGGTGTTGCACTGGGAAGGGGTTCCCCACCCACCAGGCCTCCCTACCCTCCCCCTCCCACAGGGCCACCCCTCCACTATAACAAAGACACCACCATTCTACGTTTTCAAAGTTAATTAAAGTCTCTTGGTTTACCAATAAACAAATTCTGGTGATTCAAAAGGAAGAAGAGATAGCTAGAAAACGGTGGGAAAGAGTCCCTGGGAAAAGAACAGAAAACCTTGCCTCATGCATGCAAGGCTAAGAATTGTTTTCTCCCTACTGGCTGCTTTTCTGTCTGTTCTAAAGAGAAGCTTCCAAGAATCGGCTAAATAAAAGGATCACACCAGAGGATGCGAGATAATGCTAAACCAACAAAAACAAAGACCCAAATGAAAGAGTGAGCCATGAGAATATGCGGTTATCAAAACTTTGTTTGGCCATATCTATTTATCATCGCTGCACACCCAGGCTCTGCGGAATATCATTCTGTTGATGTCACTTATCCTCAGCAAAATATTTACACATCCTTAAAAACGCCAGATGAGGGGGGCTGGCCTGATCCCTGCTGCAAGCTGCCTCTCAAGCCGCATTGCCAGGTTCTGGGCAGCCCTGAAGGTGGGGGAAAGAGGGTGGGTGGCACCAGTGGACACGGGTTAAAGCTACCAACAGTTCCGGGAACACAGCCCCCAGGCGCTGAGCCCTACCCACCTCTCCTCTACCTGACTCTGCAAGAAGCTGCCACATCCCCGATATGGTGTCAGCGCCTCCTCCTCCTCCCCTGCCTTTCTCATTGATTAAGTTCCCAAACCATTGTTAAAGCCGGGTTGCCTTTCCTCAGGAAATGGGCTAAATTCATTAAGCTTCCCGCTGCCACAAAAGGAATATTCATAAAAGTTTGGTAGGCAGAAAGGAAGGCTGACATCGTGCCACGGGGAAGGTGACAATCTGCTCCTCCAAAGCCACCTTCTTTTTCGTGCCCCAGTCCTCTCCCCATCCATCCGTCGTGCCCCAAACCTACTCCAGGGACTTCTGATAGGGAAACACAAAGCAGCAGCTGTTTGGCAACATCTCTACCCCTCGCCAACAACTGTGGTGGGATGCCATTTCCCCACCCAGGCGGGGCTTATCCTGAACAATAGTCGGGCTTTAAACAGCAAACAAGCAAACACACAGAGCACAACCCCAACCCGAAAAAGCCAACGCAGAGAGACGCAATAACTCCCTCCGCAGCAAAAGGCGCCGCTGAATCGCACGCAAAAAAATTCAGCGAGGACGCTGCACGGTGCCTAACATGGCAGAAAGCCCGAGCTGGTGCGGCCACCCCGGGTCTGGGCATTGGGGGGCACCGGGGCGCTTGGGCGCAGACGCACACTCACCCGGCTCCAGGGAGATGCGGGGCTGGCTGCGCGTCACAAAGAGGAGCCCAGTTCGATTTGGCAAAACCCAACTTTCCACCCGGCTCGCCAGGGCCGCCAGATACGTCAACAGAATCCATCTTCCGAAGGGCCTGGAAGGCGCCGGGTTTTCCGGGCCAGGGCAGAACGGCAGATCCGGAGGCGGCCCGGTGCGCTGCCCGGGCGCGGAGTCCGCGGCGCGCCGCCCTCTGAGCCCGGTGCCAGCGCGGTGGCGGCCCGAAACCCACTTCGGGGCCCCCGCCCCGCGGGCCAGCGCCGCCTCCCCGGCCGGCAGTCCCCAGCCCCTCCGGCCAGTGTGCGGCGCCCGCAGCGGGAGCGGGGACCGGGCACGTCGCACGGGTGGCGGGTGGCGGGTGGCGGCCTCGGCCCGCGTCCCCGCCCCCGCCCCCGCCCGGCCCTCCCCGCTGGCCCCGGCCTCCGGGCGCCGTCCTGCCCCCGGGAGCCGGCCCCTCCCCGGGCGCCGGGCCCCGCCAGGCGCGCCTCGCCCGGCGCGCCCCCTGCGTCCCGGTGGCAGGTCCGCCCTGGGAGGGCGGGGGTGACCCCGGCCCGCACGGGGTCGCCGCGGCCGCTACCTCGCGATCGGGGCCGCCGCCTCCAGGAAGCCGCGGGGTGGTCGTGGGTGCGGGAACTCTGCGGTCTGGCCTCGCAGCTCGCCGCCTGAAGGGGGTGCACAGCTGTGGGAGCCTCCGTCTCCGCTGTCACCCAGCCGTTGTCGCCGCCGCTGCTGGTTGTGTGTGAGCGTCTGTGCGCCTGTGTCCGGGTGAGTGTGTGTCTGCGTGCGGCGTCCGGCCTTTACTATATACACCAAGGGGTGGGAGGAGGCGGGGAAGGGGAGGGCTTGGGGGAGGTGGCGGAGGAGGGGGAGCAGGAGGGGGGCGAAAGGGTACCCGTGGAGGAGGCAGCAGAGGAGGGACAGGTGATCGCGCCCACGGGGAGGGCGTGGCTGTGGGCGGCGCGGGATGGTAGGAGGAAGGGGAGCCTGGGGCCACAGGGAGGGTCGGTTGGGACACAGGCTAGGTCGGTCTGAAGTGTGGGGACCTGACTGCCTTCCTGAGAGCCAGGGATCATTCCAGACCACAGGATGAAGAGAAAGGAGAGGAACCCAGCAGGCAGGCAGGGGTCGCATGATGAAGGTGGGGAAGATGGGAATGGGCGATCGCCCTGAAATGCTGATCGTGATACAGGTCAAAGATTCTTCTCACAAGGTGGGAGATTAGTAAAGACAAAATCATTTCACGGGCAAAATTGAATTTCTATTCAAGAGGTGATTCATTAATGAGCACTTAGTATTTGCTAAACCCTTGGCTAAGAACTAGAAAGAAGAGGAATATATGGTGGCTGACCAGCAAATAAATTATAAATATCGATAGTATTATTAAAATATTTTAAACCTAAATCCTTAAAATGTTTTAAGAAAGCAAGGGAAGCGGCTACAGTGGTTTACTTAAACCCTAAAGATTTATTTTTCCTATTAATTAAAACAGGATGAATATTTTTGAGAGAATGGTAAGTAGCACGGGACTTAAGTTTAAGCAGAAGAGAGAGCAGTATGAATCTAGCTTTTCTTTGTATATTCAGACCCCCTAAAGTCCCAACACTGTGTGTATTAATCATGACTTCTCTTTTGTAGAATTTGGAGTGCCCACAAGACTGTAAAATAATTATGAGGTGTGATTGAAACATACAGTGAATATTGAAATTTAAAAAAAATGCTACAGTAAAAGACTTTGACATTAATACCTCTCAAAATACCCACCTTTGTTTCAAACAAACTTACCCTATCTTTTTTTCTGCCACTTTCTGAAGCAGTTTTGGAATTCCTATTTCCTATTTTCTTGTGTTGCATAGACTCAAAATGTTTACGTTTCATGGTCATTTTGACTTTGGGGAAGAGCCAGAAGTTGCCTGGTGCCAGATCTGGTGAATAAAGTGGATGATTATACACTATAATATTTTTATGAACCTTCCTTTCCATTGGATGGCACTCAGCAGCAGCATTCACTGTACTTCTGATCCTAAAGTAACTCTTAAAGGTTCTTACAAAAGTGGATTTCCAGAACTGCTTCACAAAGTGGCAAGAACATTGGGTAAGTGTGTCAAAGTGAGGGGAAGTAATTTGAGGGAGAATTAATAGCAATGTGTCTTTTACTATAATAGTTGTACCCTGAGCAACTACTTTAAAGATAACATGTAATGTATTAACTGTTGTTATTCACTTATTATTTTATGAAATCTTTTCTTTTTTCCACAAAATAAAGAAAATGTAAAGAAATAAGCAGAAACATAATTATATATAAATACATAAGATATGTAAAAAATTAAGCATTCATCACATTTTTGATCCCAGTGAACACAGGGACAGAGAGATAACACAATGCATGTATGATAACTGATAACAATGATTACCAGTTCTTGCTTGTTTCAGTCAGGCCTTTAGGGGCTTTAAATCAGTCTTGAAGAAGTAATGATACCTGTGGAAATAGTTATCTCTAACTATCTGCAATCACTACAGTAACCAAAGACTCTCTATAGATCAGCGTGCCCTCCAGAGTTCTTTTAGGACATGTCGAATTGGAAGTGGCTGTTGGGTAGCCACATAGAGTAGGCATTCAAAGAGCAGGTCTGGAGTTCAAAATCAAACTGGAGACCTAGATTTTAGAGTTGTTAGGTCCTGGGTGGAGCTTGAATCAGTGGGTGTTTATGAGCTCTGCAGGAGATATCTGTGAATTATGTGGTCTTGGAGGCCATCACCCAGTGCTTCAGCTTGATTTGACTTCACCTGTGTGAATATCATCTGTGTTCTCAAGAGGTTTCCAGCAGTCCTAAAGTTGTAGGAGCCTGTTTAGTATTCTTGAGTTTGAATGTGTTTGGGGAAAATGGATCATTGCTCTCAAATGAGTCTTAAGTTGTCTATATTTTACTAAAGTTTTAAAAATGTACTTAAAGTTAAAAATTCATTTTAAAATATTTTGATAGTTAATATTTACTGGGTTACTGAAGAAGGTGGGCATTTGGAAATATATCACAATGCAAAATGACGAATGTTCAACAAAGCAATGTAAAAGGGTGATGCTGAAGTAAATGCAAGGGGTAATTGAAACATGGAAGATTGAACTGAAACACAGGCTTAGGGAAGGAGGGAGGAATGTGTTCTGAGAAACAGCGTGGCTTGAATTACACTCTTACATGAGGAATATGCAGAGCTCAGGGGGTAAGGGAAAGGATTTGACATTTGATAGAATGGAGATGTCTAGGGTGGTTTACTTGGGATAAAAGGACTTCAGTATTCATTTGAGGCTTTCATATGAATTGTATGACATCCTTTGGGTAAAATTAGCAAAGACTAAATCAAAGGATTTTGGAATTGGCCCTTCAGTTAAGCAATGAATGAGCATATACTAAAGAACTATCACTTTATGGTACTAGGCTACATGCTAGAATAAAATATCTCCCCTCCCCTCCATTGAGGTCTCTCAGGATCCAGGTGTGGCTCTATTTAGTCTCACAATCAGTACAACATTTTATTTCACAGAAGTTTTTGGGAAATTATTACAAGTAAGAAACAGGCTCATTATAAAGGGCTTTGCTTGTGGCACTCCATTCTGTATTCTTCATTTCTCTTTCCCCGCTGAACACTAATGTTCAGATACCCATCCCCTCTCCTGTGAAAATTATGTGCCTTAGAATTTGATCCTAGCTTTAGGGTGGATCTGTTTGATCTCAGAAAAATTACATCTCTTCTGCTATAATTTGGGTCAAATGGATAAGAAGAAAGATTTGCTGGAGGCTCGTTGGTAACTTTTTACTCTCTAGGAGGGCATCCCACCTGCTCCCAGTGGAAGTGAGGATAATGTAACCCTATTAGCAGCAATTGCCAGCAAAACCACTGTGCAAGTTACTGTGTAATAACTGATCATGTAAGCCAGGATACTAGTGGTGAAAGGGCTTTCTCTTTATAATTGTGTCAGGGAACATTCCTTGGTCTTCCCAGCCCATTAGGATGAATGGGCACTGAGATGCTTGGAACCAGGTTTAGGAGGGAGGTGATGCTGAAGGCAATACAGCCAAAAGAGCGAAGGAACATGGGACCACATTTTTGAATTACTAAAGCAATAAAAACTAGAGCCATCTAACCTCCCATTTCCTGTAATATAAATTATTGCATTGCTTATAGGTTTAGGTACATTGAGTCACATCTCTACTGCTGCCAATGGAAAGGATTCTGAGACATATGTACCACAACAGAATTGTATTGCTTTGTTTTAGTTCAGTCTGAGGAGTAAGGACCATTCTAGAGTCAATAAATCTAGCAAAACCAAGGGTAAGGAAGTTGTAGAGCAGGAACAGGTATCATAATCTGACTTTAAACGCAAGTGAAGGAAATGATATGACCTGGCACATGGTTGAAATGCATGCCTCTGCTGAATTTGAAAGGCCATCTATGAACATGATGGTTTTCATTCTCTCCAACATAACTGGCAAAGTTTCAAGAGATAAGAGGAGTTCCAAAGTCATTCACTTTTGGAAAGTGACATTGGTGTCTAAAAAAGAGTGACTTCAATTGTTTCATTTTATTCACTTGGAATGATTTCTCAAGTTACAGAATTTATAAATAGAACAATTTTTGGAAGGTAATTGAATACAGAGCCTCGTGCAGGTTAGGTAGGCACTCTAACCACTGAGCTACACCCTAGTCCCTATGAATGGGACAATTTTATCAAAGAATTAAAAATGGGCAATTGTAAAACTTGTCTAGGAAGGTCATCATTTTTAATTACTATGTTTCCCACTTGTGGCCTCTTTTTGCTGAATCAAATGCTGTTCTCTCAAGACTGCTCATGGTTTATCCCTGTTCACTTTGAACCCTTCCAGGTGACTCTCTGATCCTCTTACCCCTAGGATTATTCTTGTCCTATTTCTGAGCCAGACTATCAGTGTACTGGGTCGGGGATTAAGCAGGCTTCTCTCATCTAAATTTCTTCTATTCCTGATGGAGCATAGTAAGCACCACTCAACCAAAAAGCCACAGCATTCACCAGTCATCATCTCCATGACCTCTTCCCATATTGACCCCAGCCATAGAATTAGGCTTCTGAGACTCATACTCTGCTGAGCTCTAAAGCTTTCCATTGGACATATAG